GTGTACATCTTGGCATTTTCTCTGAAGTTGGCTAGATGTTCCGTTTTCTTGTCAAAGCAACCTTTGAGAACAAACTGAGGTCAGGATAAAGTAAAAGAGCTGCAGCAGTTCGCAGGAAACTAAATTCTGATGTTTGTGTTAATTGCTGTTGGAAGCAGCCACCAGACTCCATTGACAAAAACAGCAATTTTACTCCTAAAGACACATTTACAATAACGAGTGTTTGTTTGGGTAAGCTGGGATGGTTTGGTTTCTTTGAAGTGGTTTTGTACAGAAACGCCTGTGGTTCATGGTTGAAAGTAAAAAAAACCCCAAAAAAACAATTTTAATAAATTCAGGTGTGTGCTGTTTTTAGGTCATTTTCTCTGTTTTACTTTTCCACTGGAAGCTGAAACCATTTTATTGCTCTCTGGGCTCCATTAACAAAAGTAGTAATTTTACTATTAAGAACACAGGAGTCGATGGTTTACCGCTGCCTGTTTTCCTTGCACCATAGAATGATTAGAACAAGGCAAGGCAAGTTTATTTGTATAGCACAATTCAACAACAAGGTGATTCAAAGTGCTTTACAGAGACATTAGAAACAAGAACAAATAAAAAGCATGATTTAAAATTGATTAAAACAAGCAAATAAACTAACTAATTAACAAACAAACAGACAACAGTATATAAAATCAAAACAGATAAATTCAGAACAGTAGATAAAATCAGTAGTTAATGTAAGTTTTGAAATTTAAGTTTAAAGAACAGTTTTAAAAGCCTAATTTGAAAGTGAACCCAACGCTAAATGAATACCAGTGGACAGGCAACCATAGGCAAAATAAAAAAGGATATAGTTCTTTGTTATACCAACTGTCTGGTGCTGGAGGAACGGCACTGGACAACAAAGTTGACTTCACATGCACTGTCCCAAGCCTTTTCTCACAGTTTTGCAGCTTTTGCACCATCACGGCAAGGCCGAAGACATAACTGTACCATCATGTCATCGAATCAGAGACTCACAGATAGATGTTGCAACAATTTGAAAACATTGTTATTGTTGTTACAGTGGTCATCTACCAATCAGCAGACTTGTGTTTAGATTTCCATGTATGTCAAAGTATCCTTAAGCAAGATACTGACCCTCGAGTTGCCTGGGATGCATCTGTCAGAGTGTGAGTGTGTGAATGTTAAAATATATGTTCTTGTATAAATGAGTGTGTGAATGGATGAATGAGGAGTGGAGTGGGGGCCATAAATGGAAACAATAGCCCACTCTACAGAATAAATGCCTTATGTAACACAACATCAAACTAACATCCTCTAAGTCATGGAAACGTATTGATGATGTATCTTAAAGTCATTTATTGTTGGACTGTGCAGCTGGAGAATTGCTTTATATAATCCAACACAAACTTACACTGTATTGCCAAAAGTATTCACTTATCCATCCACATCAGTAGCTCAATGAATTGCAGCGTGGTACCGTGATAGGATGCCACATGTGAAAAAAGTCCAGTCATGAAATTTCCTCATTACTAGATTTTCCACAGGCCACTATTAGTGGTATAACAAAGCAACTCAGCCACAAAGCGGTAGGCCATGTAAAATCACAGAGCGGGGTCAGCAGGTGTTCTGGTCGCCAACTCGATCACTGCAGATCTCCAAATTCATGCGGCCTTCAGATTAGCTTAGAACCGGTGCGTAGAGAGGAATGTGTTTCCATGGCCGAGCAGCTGCAGCCTTACATCACCAAGCACAGCGCAACGCATTGGATGCAGTGGTGTAAAGCATGCTGCCACTGGACTGTAGAGCAGTGGAGACACATTCTCTGGAGTGATCAATCACACTTCTCCGTCCAACATTCCAATGGACGGGTTCAGGTTTGGCGGTTGCCAGGGGAACGGTACTAAACGATATTTGACTGCTTTGTGCAAAGTGTAAAGTTTGTTGGAGGGGGGATTGTGGTGTGGGGTTGTTTTTCAGCAGTTGGGCTCGGCCTCTTAGTTTCAGTGAAAGCAACTCATGCACTAATGCTTCAGCATACCAAGACATTTTAGACAATTTCATGCTCCCAACTTTGTGGGAACAGTTTGAGGATGGCCCCTTCCTGCTCCAACATGACTGCACACCAGTGCACAAAGCAAGGTCCATAAAGACATGGATGAGCGAGTTTGGTGTCGAAGAACTTGACTGGCCTGCACACAGTCCTGACCTCAACCAGGTAGAACACCTTTGAGATGAATTAGAGTGGAGACTGTGAGCCAGGACTTCTCACCCAACAATGTCTGACCTCACAAATGCGCTTCTGGAAGAACGGTCAAGGATTCTCATAAGCACCCTCCTAAACCTTGTCTTTGTGGAAAGCCTTCCCAAAAGAATTGAATTGTACTTCTATGTAACTCATGGACATGCATTAAAATTGATTGCTGTAAAAGTTGCTGGTAACATTAGCTACCATATAGAAAAGTACAATTGTTTAGTTTTTTTTGAGAACCAATTATTTCAGCTTTGCTCATTCAGCAGCCCCAACTATCTTTCTCCTCTCACTCCCTCTTTACTTGAGCCATTTCCTCTCAATCACGCAGACAGCACTTCACAGTTGCACCTGTTGCTGTGAAATAGTTTGGGGCTTCATGGGAAATGGATTTGACGAGAGAGAAAATGCTGTCGGTGCTGGTAAGAGGCAGCGTGACCTCGCCTGCCAGTAAAGTAGCCATTCTCCTCTCACTTCCATCTGCAGCTGTTAATGTCGTTGAAAAGAGACCTGCGACGCTTCTGGGGGACCCGGCTGGCATTAACTGGCTTTACTTAAGCAGCCATTTTATTGAAAAATACATGATATTTCTAAAGTTAACCTCCATTACGCAAGCTAAGCTCTAATTTCTGAAAGCTACTGTGACTGCAGACACGGTCAGGACTCTTCTCCTCTGCGACGTGATTTCACTGGCAGAGGAGAGCGGATAATGATCCCATAAATTGGAACATTATTTTCTATTTGTCCGCTTTTTTCTTAAATTACAGTGTGCTTTTGAGACATTAAAAGCAGCAATAAACAAAAGGCAATTAGGTCAAGAGCGCAAATCCTACAAGGGTGGAACAATTTAACAAAAACAAAAAACAGACAATTAAGAGTGAATTAAACCGGTATAAAGAGATAAATAACAAATCCTGTTTGTTTAAAAATGTCCAGCTAACAGCCTCTACTTTAGTGGCTTTTCTCACTCTTCATCCGAAAGGCCACAAATCTCACTAATTGCACATTTAGCAGCAACAAAAAACAGAAGCCATGTATCATTTGTATATCTGCTGAATGTTGACTCCAGAGTTGGATACCAGTGCCTCATTTTAATAGCTTTAATTGACTTATATAAACAGACTGAGGTAGCTCAGAGCCTTTTGACAGCGCACACCATTTCCATGTCTTTGAAATTGTATTTATCTGTTGTATTGTGGTCTGACAAAGATTTTCATCAATATGAATCCTATATATAAAAGCTTACAAGATTACCAATTGGTTGAGGCAACACTGATTGTCTCAAGGTGCTTTACATTTTAAGGTGGAGACCCTCCAATAACACAGAGAAAACCCCAACAATCAGGTGACCCCCTTTGAACAAGCACCTGGCAACAGTGGGAATGAAAAACTCCTTTTTAACTGGAAGAAACCATCAGCAAAACCAGGCTCAGGGAGGGGCAGCTATCTGCCATGACTGGCTGGGGGTGAGGAGGGGGACAGGGCAAAGACACACTGTGGAAGAGAGCTAAAGCTTAATAATGACTAATGATTAAATGCAGAGTGGTGTATAAGCGCACACATACAACCTGATTAATAGACTTGCGAATGTTGTACCATGGAAACCTGGCTTTGTACAATCAGCGTCAAGTACTGTAGTACAAAGCAGCAGTATGGAGGCCTTGACACCCCTAATTTCTTTATATTTTGCTAGGAAAATACGAAATGGGTGCAAGCACATATGCAAAGATACAGGGAAATAGAGCATATAAGGCATATACACCTCTGCAAATATATTTGCAATCAGTGGCTGTTGGGTAACTCTAGCAAAGATTTTTGTTTTTTTGCTACATCTCGACAGCAAATGGCAGCAAGCTGGCTGTGGAAGGTAGAATTCAACAGAAATGCGTAAAACGAAAAGGAAATTTAGCATAAAGGAGCTCAGAAACTCTTTCGGTTTCATTTCATGGCTTAAAAACTGAATGGACAAATTTAGAGGACTAAGAGTCAAAATTTCTTTATTTCACTTTGTAGCAGCACAAACCAAATAATGTGGGAAGTAATCTTTGTTTCCTGTGTGTCTGGGCTGTTTAGCTTGCAGCGCCAGGAAGCAGGCAAACAGCGGCTGACTATCCTCAGACTTGTCAGCAGTCTAAACTGGACTAAATCTCTGACAGGTGATGAGAGGCAGCGGCAGCAATGCTAAACTGACAAGCTGTCATGCAGTTATTTCCCTGGATATCAGTTTGTTGCCTGCAGGCTTCATCCGCAGGAAATCAGAGTCCCTTTTATTTTGGCGGGGAGAGAAGTCGATCGTCCCTGCTCTGCTTTTGTTTGTGGACAGGAACTTTTGTTTTTTTGTTCCTCCAGTAACTGCCATTTTTACTTTTTTAACGCTTTTATTTTTCATTGGTGTATTGATTCAGAGGCATTCTGGGAGTCCACATAGAAAAGTACCAGAGAAGTGAATTTTTATTATTGAGAAATGTTTTATGACTTCACTTCATTTTATATGTGGAGGCTGTAAAGAAATGTCCTTCCACCAGTTATTGATACACAGCTAAATTATCTTCTTTGTCAGTGACAAGGAAGGAGAGCAACTCTTACACCTCGCAGCCACAGCGGTTGTAAATTTCCTCATTCAAAAGTTTCTTTCATGAGTGTTTGAGACTTCACCTGACAACATGTTTGATAGAGTAATTTATCTTCCCCTGCAAGAGTCAACAATGCTCTTCTTCAAATTAAAAGGAAAGAAATTAAAGAATAACCTCTTTGTCCTCTCCAGGCGCCATCCTGGGACGCTCAGAGACGCAGGAGTGCGCCTACTACAACTCCAGCTGGGAGAAGGAGCGGACTAACCGCAGCGGCATCGAACCCTGCTATGGCGAGAAAGACAAGAGGCGGCACTGTTTCGCCACATGGAAAAATGTCTCCGGGACTGTGGAGATTGTCAAGCAGGGATGCTGGTTGGATGATGTCAACTGCTACGACAGGTAAGCAGGAAACATTTACGGGGGGGTAAAAAAGCATTTTAAAGATATGCTGAACAAATATGTGAGTTTTACTGCTTTGGTGTGGTCAGCTGTGTGTTAAACTGCCATTTATTGTGGCTGGTCGTGGGTTTAGTTGAAAGGTTGAACATCAAACAACCAATCAATCTTCAATCATCATCCAACCTGCCAATTATTCTCTCTCCCTATCCACCCACCAACCAATCGACAACACTACCTACCTAACTACCCAACCAGCTAGCCACCCAATCATTGACTCTATCAGTCAAACAAATTACCCTCCTACCAGGCAAACGACCAGACCCCCTACCCACCAACCCACTCTGCATACCAAACAATTATTCCAGAAGTTACCTGCCCACTGCCACCCTGGCTTCCTACCTATCAACTAACCACCACATGTAATTACCACTACACCTGTCTATCCGCCCACTTACCTTCTTACATTGCTACCTATCTAGCTTTTCAACCATCACACCTGCCTAACCACTGAATCAACCTATCTATGACACTTGTGTATCCACCTGCCTTCCTCCTTTGTTTCCTTATTATTTCCTTATTATTTTAATATTCATTGCACTTAGCTCCAGCTTCCGGTTTGCCTGCCTAATATCTGTCTAACATGAGAAATTAAAGAGGAAAAAAAAAGCAAAATTTGGGGGTTGTTTTATCTGATAAAATTGAAGTAGGTCACATGACTTTGGTTTAATATTGAGGGGAAAAAAACAACCATCTAACTTCCCATTTTGGTTTCAGATAACAGTCTGGCTGAAGTAACAGTCCTCTAGGTTTCCAGTGCAAAAAGGAAACAAAGAAAATTATTTTTGTTTATTTATTTATATTATAATTTGTCTTTGATTACCACATGCATAACATATTACTGGGAAAGCGGAGTGTGTCTTAGTAGGTACTGTGGACTAAATGACCTGCTATAGTCATAGTATAAGCACACAGCAAGAATCATTGATGGGCATGTAGGGCAAATTTGGATTATTTTGAACTGCGAATCATGCATAGCTACTCTAATAGGGTCCAAGAATAAAAATATGGATGTTAGCAGAATAGTCCCACTTTAAGATTTACATTGTTCAAACAGTGCAGTGGTTTCCTAATAACCTTCCCACGCCTGTCTAAAATTTAAATAAAATACAGGACACTGTATAAAAAACACTGAGTATATACAATAAAGTGGCTTTATAAATAGCAAGCAGAATAGCTCATGAAGTCCAGTTAAAGTAAATAAACTGTAGTTTGATTACATTTCTGTGTATTTACATTTGGGTTTTCGCATCCAGCAGACTCCCTTTAACCTTAAAAACATAAGAAATCTCAGCTGATGATTTTAAGGGAACTTTCTGCTGTCACTAGAAGGTTGCATGGTATAAAATAGTAGTTAAATTCCCATCAGTAAGTAACAGAATACGGGAAATATCAAACTTTAACCAGACATGCGTGCGCTCTAAGAGGGCAAGCTTTTAATGGTGGCAGGGGTTGTTGCTGAGAAGCTGCCCATTAATTTCTGCACTGCCTCTGAATCAGGACAAAAGCAGCAGCCTCAACTCTAAATACATTTAAAATCACCTTGAGCATAATTTGTGTCCCTGTGTGAGATTCCACATCCAAATGGCTGCATTTTAATTACCACGCGCGAGGGAGCCTGAACCACAGCGTGAATTATGCGTCCACATCCAGGACAGTAAATGATGATGATGATAATAAGAGATTATTATAGTTTGTCCCAGAGTAAAGCATCACCCTGGCCGCGGATACCGGTTTGAGCCAGTTCTGTTTTCCTTTTTGATTCCCGAACGATAAAGTTGTTGTCGGATGTGTAGCCCGCACAGTTCGGGGTACCTCTGCTCAGACGGCGCCGCCTCACCTCCCTGGAGAGTCCAGAGCAAATCGAGGGCGGCTGCCACTTCCTTTGGCTTTTATCTGATGGCTGCGTGAGTGTGAGAAGAGAGAGCAAGCGCGATTGTCGGCGTCCATGTTCGCATGTGTAGGAGTTATTTTATAAATGTTTTGTTTCATGTCCTCTGTTGCAGCAGCGAGGGAATGGAAAGCGGTGTTTGTTTGTTGTGTGTGTTTTCTTTTTTTCTTTTTTTTTGCGTAACGTCTCCTGGAGTGAGTGCATGTTCAAAATAGCTCCCATGTCCTTTTGCAGTGCATGGAGAGGATTGAGTGTTTCTGATTTCCACCTCTGTGTCCTCTGCAGTAACGAGTGTGTGGAGAGGAAGGAGAGTCCCGATGTTTTCTTCTGCTGCTGTGAAGGCAACATGTGCAACGAGAGGTTCCTGTACGCCCCTGAAGCGCCCCCGCAGAGCGACCCGCACCATTCGACCGCCTACAGTATGTACAGTCCAGCACGCTCACTGAAAATGACGACTTCTCAGCGGGCGCAAACGCTTTCTTTTAGTCAGAGCTGCAGTTTGTTTGCTAGGCTTGAGCTTAATGCTTTAATATATGTTTAATGAGTTCCTGGAAAGTTGTAAGTTCATGCTATATGCTATTAATCTTTTCTGAGTTACAGGCACTTGAACTGCACAAGGGTTGGTCCATATTTGGCACTGAGCATCAGCCAGAGCTCTTTTCAATGCTTGTTGCTTTTACTCACTTCACTGAACTTTAGAGGGGAGCATCCAGTTGCTGTGTTCAGTGCATTGTCCTCATCTGCCGGTGTACACTCAGATCTTGCTTTGATCCTGAGATATTTTTTTTTAGGTTTATGAAAAACGTATTCAGGGCTTGATCCCTGCAATAGGTCCAAACTATTATATACAACATGCGGACATCAATACTTCTCATTATTAGTAATGATGTCTTAATATCCATTATCCATATTGCGGTTGAGATGCCTCTTTGGTTCATCAGTCAGGCGCTCTCCGGTAAGGCGCCACTTGACTTTGCTTTTTTGATTTGAGTGTAGTGATGTGAACATTCTCTATTTTTGTAAAACAACATAAATAGGATGTTCAGTGTTTCTCACACTGTGGGACCAGGAGGAAAATATGGAGTAAAATTAAGTGGAATGGTAGCAATTGGCTGGGTCCTTTTGGAGTGAAAAATCATATTAAGAGTTTTAACTGTCATTTCAATTAAATTCGACTTGGAACTTTTTTTAAAATGTCACTGAATGCGAGGCAGTCACACAGGCGTAGAGATGAGGCTGTGACTCCCTGGCAACCTCTGGTCACTGAGGTAAAATGTGTATTCCTCCACCAGTTGCCGAGTGGTTGCTGGAGTTTGTTGGTAATCATTACCATGAAATCGATTGTTTTAGTGAATCATCCTATTTGCAATCTTTTGCTTCCTTTGGCTAATAGCAGATCGCTATGATCGCCTATAGTTTGCATGAAAGATCGCCAATTTGTCTCCAACTTCTTGCTGAGCAATAATGAAACTTCAAGATAAAAAAGTGCAATGGAAACAGAACACATAAAAGCGCCTTACTACTTACTGTTTCAAATGGTGCAACTTTTACTTTGAGGTCAGAAGATACCAGCTTCACCACCACTCTGCAAGTAGTTGGCGAGTGTTTGCAGACAAGTCGCCATCTTCTGTGCAAACAACAGGTGACCACCTGCTGCAATCGCAAGGTGGTTAGTGGAGCAGCACCAAGACCAAGTAAAATTGTGTCTGAAAGATGCTGCATAAATAAACTTGGAGAAAAAACAAGGGACCAAATGGCGACAAGCAGACTCCCGCAAACAACTCACCAACTTGTCAGGGAATCTCTAGCAAATGGTTGTTACTGGGGATCATTGACTGGTCTCATAGTCGAGCACAAACATAGGAGCGTACTGAGTAATTTGTTATTTTTTAGCAACCTGTGGTGGTGGTCGCCAGCTGATCTCTACGCCTGAGTCAGTGGGGCATTGGAAACACTCAGGCCAACCAAAATGTGGTGATTCACCTTACAATAGCTCTGTTAGTGTGTTTCTCCATTCTTTATGTATAATATTTGACTATATTAGAAATGTCTTTTGCCCCAGAAAGAATTTTGGCTAGAGAATGAACCTGGTATCAAAATATAGATAAGAAAAGGAGTCCTTTCATATACTGTAACTTGTTTTGAGCAGCCACCTGTCTCCCATGGTGATATATGACCCTTTGAAGTTCACCCAAAATACACTTTTTGAAGTTTTCTCCAGTGAAAAATCAGAAAACAGATCAAACATCCAGGATACCAGTCCTTTTTTCCATTCTCTCCATGTCACAGATATTATATCAGTGCAGTTTTGCTATCAAAGCTGTGAATATATCCCGTTATATCAACTAATCATCTAATCTCTGATAGAATACCCCTAAGTGTTTCGAGGGCCTATGAATTTATAAGTATTCATACTATCGAGGTAAAATATTTCGTGAAAAAGATTAAAGTTATAATACACACATATTAACTGATTGTGAGGTGCTCACGGCTTGGTTTGATTGGTTTTATATTAAAACCCCAACTTATCAACTTCGTACCTCAGTACTTGTTTGGAAGGTTATTTCTAAAGTTATTCCTATCAACTTTGTTTCTATAGCATGGCTCATGAATAAAAAATATACCTTAAGCAAACAATCAGAAGCACATACAAGTTATTTCTACAATCTGGAGACATCCGGGCTTTTATTTTGAAAGCCTGACCTTGCACAAAGGGTGTGATGTAGGAAATTTTGGAGGGCTGCCATCAACTGAGCTTCCTTCCAGGTGTTCAGGGCTGGAATGATGATTAAAAGGTGAATACAGGTTTGAGGGAGGCATGTCTGGGCTTTGTGTGGTTCTCACCTGCACTAAACGAAGCATCAGGAAAAAATATTTAAGCGAAATATGTGAATCATTTATTTGTAATGAAGTGGAAATATTGCAAAAGATTTCACATCAGTATGTATTCATGGTTCTGAATATCCACTGAGCTTAGTAACTGATATATTATAGAACAATATAAGATTAATGCATCCCTAAGAACATGATTCAGACTCCTTTTTTAGCCCATTTCAATGCAATGGAATTTATTTTAAGAAACAAAAATGTTAAAAAAACAATGTGTTTATCTCCTTGAATAGGAATGGAAATGAGACATTAAACTAGCTTACATGTAAAGTCCAGACAGCCTCATAATGTGGGTTAAATGGTGAATGTAAATGCAGCAATGCTGATGATATCAGCGTTAAGTGTAGTGGCTCTGCACAGTAATGAATGTGGGGAAAAAAATTGAGCGAAGCATGAGATCAAGTAGGAAATGAAGACTGACCACAGCTGGGGCAGATCTGCGACCTCAGTGCCAGTCCACATCAGCTCACAGCTCAGCTGACACATCTATTGGACAGCGTCATCTTATAACTCGGCTTTAGTCTGCTTTCATTTGCTGCTGCCACTGCCCCTGCAAGCTACTTGGCAAACCCACCTCTGCCCATCTCCACCTTTCATGCTGTATTCGGCTAAAATCATTCCAAATCTGTCAACTATCCTGTGAGGGAGTCACGCTGCCGATCTTAGTGGAACTATGCACCAATTGCTATTTTCTTCTCGATAATGACACTCTGAATTAACTGAACATCGGGGCTGCTACGATTCGTCGCCATAAGCGATGAAACGGATAATAAAAATTTGTCGATGCAGAATGTTTATTGACAACACGTCGTATTCTAAAACCACATAAGTGTGTTTTATAACCAAAATAAAATTCAAACAGCCCTCCTCCCCACCTCTGCTGCTGCACTTATATTTCCATCAGGTATGCTAAAGCACAGGCCGAACTACCTGCAGCATGTGTCAAAAAGTGTCCTCAGACGTCACCAAGCCCCAGGCAGACAACCCACTCATTTTTATTTCACAGGAAAAAATCTTTCTTTCTTCTTCATGGTTTTTATTTTTTATTTTTTTTAACTTCCATTGGGTTCTCCGCCTACTGATACCAGCCTGACCCTCACCTTTAAGGCCAGCAGCCTTGTGAGTAATGAAGCTCATCCTTTGGGGTCAAGGCCGGGTCACAACTAGATCCAAATAATCTATTAGTAGAGAAGCTAGCAGACAAAACGGCTACCGATGGAAATCAGAACAGAAATTTGTACGTTTTTCCTGTTATTCTTGGCCATTTTTTCAACAAACATGTTTAACGTGAGTAAATTCAACCCTGCTTCAATAATAAAATGAATAGAAATGATTTCAGACCTCAGACATCTTTTAAACGCAAGAGAAATCTTTAATTTAGGACTGACAGCAAATTAATCAAACTTTATTTGTATAGCGTTTTTCATGCAGGTTAGTAAAGTTCACAGTCCTTCACTGTAAAGCAGGAAATTAGACAAAACTGGGGGTTATGTGCTATTATGGGTAATTTAATATAAGTTAAAGAGACAAGCGATCAAAGGAATAAATTAATCAATTAGGAGTACAGTATTTATAAGTATATAAATAAAATGAATGAAAAGGATGTACTTATCCCTGAATTTAGTATAACAGGAGGTTAAAGCACATTCAGGTACCGGTGATTAATGCTTCACCAACCAGTGGTGGTTCTGGTGTCCTTGCGCTCATCAGTTTGCAGCTGAAGTGTCTGGCAGGCCCGTCTGTCTCACCCTTTAAATCTGACTTTGTGAAACCTGCAGACTTCCTGTAGAGGAACAACTTTCCACAACGTCCCGACAAACACCCTCAGGGTCCCACAATGCAGCTGGTGCAGTCCTGTCGGCACCTACCCCCTCCCTCACGCCTTTCTTCACTTCCCTGCTCTCAGAGGGCGGCAGCGGCGGGTCGGCGTCCGAGCGTCGGCGTTTTGACAGCGCTGCCGAATCAGACGGCCGCTTTGTGACGGGAGGACAGGCTGAGCGAGCAGGCGTCACCCTGCGCCTCCTGCAGGGGTCGGGCACAGTTCAGAGCTGTTATTTTTGGCAGGCGGATTACGTTATGTCACGAGATGGATTTGCTAATCCTGCTGTGCGCGTGTGTGTTTGTGTGCGCTTATGTGCGCTGATATGATCTCTAAGCACGGTGGCTGTAAGCAGGGTTAGAGCTGCATTTAGAGATGGAGGCCCAGCGTGAGGCCAGCTAGGAAGGCTGTGTACTCTTGTCTTTGTTTGGCTGATCCTGGAGCAGTTTCTTCTGAGAGTTTCAGTCACTGTGGGCTCGTTTCTCTCTGCAATATAAAGTCCTGCACTCTTGTGGAAAGAGAAAAACCAGAGCTTCAAGAGGAAAGAAGTCAGAAATGTCTTTTGTGAAGTATAGCACAATTTAAAAATACTGAAATATAAAATATAATACAGAAACCGATGATACCAGTGTAGGAGAGGAAAAACCTTCACATGTTAAATCATTAAATGTTTAGAACCTCTATAAATCAGGCATTCTTCATGCCGCTCTGCAAATTGACTTCATGGAGATATTTTCTGTGTATGATCAGGAAGACTGCCCCACACTCCTTTCTGTGGCCGTTACCACATTTGTAACCAAGAGGATGTTGGCCGTGTTTTTGTTGTTGTGGCTGGTTTAGGATCCAACAAGCTTGACGTGACTCTGTGCTTTGTGATAGGCGCTTCAATGGAAGGGAGGTCTATCTGAATTGGAGGATCTGATATTATCACCAATCAGAATAAACGTAATCTTAGATTAAATAAATCATTATGACGATCTCCTGAAGTTCAAACTGAGCATCAGAATGGGGAAGGATGATTTAAGTGACTGTGCTGTAATGTGGGATATTTTCATGGAACTCTTTTGACCCCTTAGTACCAACAGAGCATCATTTAAACACCACAAACCTACCTGAGTGTTGTTCCTGACCATGTCTATCCCTTTATGTCTACTGTCTACCATCTTCTGATGGATAATACACCATGTCACAAAGCTCAGATCATCTCAAACTGGTTTCTTGAACATGACATTGAGTTCACTGTACTCCCAACGGCCTCCACAGTCACCAGATCTCAATCCAGTTAGAGCACATTTAAGATGTGGTGGAACAGCTGATTCTTATCGTCCATGTGCAGTCAACAAATCTGCAGCAACTGTGTCATGCTGTCACATCAAAATCTCTAAACATTGTTTCCAGCTTCTTGTTAAGTATGTACCATGAAGAATTGAAACAGCATTGAAGGCAAAATTGGGTCAACCTGCAATAAAAAGCCTCAGGTGAAAGTATAATTGTCGTTTTTTATTAGGTGGGAGGCAGGCAACATGATGGGGTCTTTAACATCTCATATGATGCTTTTCAAGCACTGTGAATAGAAGTTAGATGTTATTATCATGAATAAAAAAGGATGCAATGCTTTCATGAGGTGTTTTGGTGCTTAAATGCTAGAAATGGGTCATTAAAACTTCACTGGTAGGTGGTTGCTAAGCAACATGATGATTTTATAATATCTGGTATAGATAAGAACCTTCGGGGGCCTGAGATGTACACGTGTGGCAAGTTTGGTTGCTCAATCCCTGATGGTGTATGAGTTGTGAGAGATTCGGTGTTCTTGCATGTCCACCCTTTGAGGCATATCGAGAACTATCAGTTCCAACAGGTTGCAAATAAGTTGAGCAATTCTGTATTATTTTAACGCTCGGGCACGGTTTATCGTACTGCCAGGAACCTGATGAAGGCCACAAGTCGAGACACGTCAGCGAATCAGTGAAGTTGTTCTTTACACACAGAGTGCTGCTGGTGTTTTAACATATTCAGATCTGTCGTGCTCTCCCTGCACTTTGAAAGTAGGTGAGGTTGTGGCAGAAAGCACCACTTTGTCTCTCCTTCAAGTACTCCACGTGTAGACTGAGCCTGTCGTATACAGCGTTAACAGAAACTCACTGATTTTGGAGTTGTACAGGGCACCGCGCACCTTAAATTCATCGCACGTTCAATTCAACAATGACAGAACCCTCAGTTTTGCCCTGTTGTCATTTGTCTGTTATTTATTTTTTATTTATTCATGATTTTACTGTCCAATTTAAACAACTTAGCAATAGCCAATTTACCAACTCCTATATTCTTTCTATTTATTTCATATGCTGCCGTGAGAGTTTGGTTGAACAAAAATGCACCGTGGCGATCTATTATCATGGCTCCTCACTTCAGCTGAAGTTTGTTTGTCTAGTCGTGCACATTGGTCATTTTTGTAGAACTATTAAAAGAGACGTGTTGAGTAATGAAGTCTTTCTAATATTTCTGCTTCTGTTACACACTGAAGCCTAATTTAGTTGGCTTTTCCTTATGGGACCCTTGGGTCACGTGTAGTTTAAATCCCACTGGGCATTTTGAACATCTAATGCTTGTTTTTACAGCTTGAAATATTAAAAACAAAACCCCAAAAGGTACTAATCTAGCGAAAGAAAGCATGTCCTTTGCATTCCACCTGGAGATTTGTGCTTCAGAAGGCTGAGTGTCGATATTTCACAGCTTTCATTACATATGCAGTATAAAAGGTGGACATAATCACCATGATTTCAGACACTGTTTCAATCACGAAGCTTTAAGATGAGCGTTTTCATTGTTACCATCTTGGTGTTGAACATACCAGATAATCCTCCTTTCTAATTCTAATTATGACTATGATTTGTAAAGGTTACCTATATCATTTATTCGCTATGACCTGAAAATGGTGATCGAGTCCATGAGCTCATGAACAATGTGGTTACAAAGCGAGGGAGCTCAGACTGACTTATATAATGTCTGTTTCTCCTCTCACAGCCACCTCCAACCCGTTCTCCCAGAAGCCCCAGCTCTTCAGCACCCTGCTTTACTCACTGGTTCCCATCATAGGCCTGGCCGCGGTCGTCCTCTTCTCCTTCTGGATGTGGAGGCACCACAAACTGGCGTACCCAGCTGCCCTCGTCCCCACACATGTAAGTCCCACCAGAGTCCAGCCCATCACTGCTTTAATCCCGGTTTGTCTCTCTGTCTTCACGTTTGCTCGTCGCTGTCGTCTGATTTCAGAGGTCACCTGTCAGTCACACAGCGTGGCGAGGCTGCGGTGTCCTCTTTCTTCAAAGTTGCTTGCTGATGCAGTTAGTTTCTCTTTCTGTCTGTTCAGCCTCGGTGACCATCAGGTCTGACTTCCATCTGTTAATTGCAAACAAAGGGGAAATGTAAAACCAGTCAGTTCCTGCGTGTCAGAGGATTCGTCCTCTGATACCTGAAAGTTCGGTTAAATTTATTACAAGAGACGTCCGTATGTGCTCTGAGGTTAATATTTATTTCTGACATGACTTCATCAGTTGCTCGCTTTTAAAAAGGTTGTGCATTATTTGAAGTTTGCAGTCAGGTGCAGTGTGCACACTGCCTTCTCTGTTTAACCAACCTTCAGCTTCACCACTGTTCCACTTCCATCAGTGGGCTTCAACAGCCTTGGCCTCTCCTGCCCTGCGCAGCCGAGGGACGGAGCGATGGTCAGCCAGAGCTGACACGCTGTGCTGAGAGTTTACGTCTGGATAATTGCTTTTACAATTTCTTATTTCAGTCCTGTTTAGAAGGATGAGAGGAGCCCTGGTTCTGTCTTTTTCTTTTTCCTGCGGGTCTCTTTTCAGAGCAAACTCATCTCAGACTCGCTTTTAATTCACCACATGAGGAGTCAGGAGATGAGCCGAACTGTATTGTTGAGAGTGTGTCAGACAGGCTTTTAATCACACACAAGTGCGATTAGTCTGATCAAAAAATACCTGTGCCCTTTTTTTGGGGGGGTTATTTACAATTAGCCCTGTTCCATATCAGACTATCCCTAGTGAAATTGTCACACTGCAATGTCATTGCTATAGCAATGGTTTACATTACTTAGTGGACAAAACAATGAAATAAGCCCGGGCATGTCTGAGGAAGAGACTGTGTCACCTTGCGAAGATGATTTAATACCTGGAAACAGAGATACTTCGACAAACTCGATCAACACACATTACTGTGCAAAATATGCACAAAAACGAAAACAAAACTATTTTTAATTCAGTTCAATTTTATTAATGTAGCGCTAAATGACAACAGCAGTCACCTCAGGGTTCTTTACATTGTAAGGTAAAGACCTTAAATAATATGTTTCACCACTTGAGTCTATAAAAGACATCATCAAGTACACGGTTGGTGATGTGCGAAACAAGTGATGTGTAAACAAGTAAGTCCACCAAGCAAGTGACAGGAAGTGGAAAATGGGTGGGTGTAAGGTACAGATGCAGTTATCTGATGGAAAGGCATGGCTTTAAACAACTCCACTTAGCCAACTGATGTGTCCATGTCCACGCCAGCAATAAGTATCAATAGAAGGCGGGGCGTCCTTAAAAATTAACGGGCTAAAATTTACATTTAAATTTAATCACATTAAATGTTAAACACTTAGTTAGGCTAATGGTAGCTGTGCTAGTTGCTAGCGTTAGCGTTTTCTACATCAAAATAAAATAAAACACTAAAATATTTGTTAGCCTGAGAGCTATAAATGAGGGGAAAAGCTGTTACTGTTATTGTGGATTTTAAAGGCAGTTGAGCCACTACCTCTTGTTATTTGTTTAACTTCATTTAAGTGTCTTTTTATACCACATTTGCTTATATTTTGGTTTTCGCATTTTCTTTTGCTAAGTACCGCTAAGTGTACTGACACAATTTCCCGCACAGTGATTACTCTGTTAAGCTATACGTGGCCGAAGGACAAAGAGCTGGTGACTTGCGGTCACTTTGAAAGGAGCCCGTGTGCATGGGCGCCCTGGTCATTTTCTTTTGTTACTGTCATTTAGCAATTAATGAACTGCTGAGTGCTGACCCTCAGACACCCTCAGACCATCAGTTATTAATGCGAGCAATTCTGCAGAGTGTGAGGGCGGCGGAGGCACAGTTACCATGGATTACTTTGGTGCTGAAGGAATATGAGCAATTAATAACAACAATAACTAACACGGGTGACAAGCTTACGGCCACATAGCGCTCAGCGAGTCTATGATGCTAGCAGATCATACATGTGTGACAGTTTTTGGGTGCTTCCCTTTGGAATTCTTTCCTGAAATGCTTTAAAACCACACAAAGGATGAAAGTAGAGGGAAATATTTATCATGCTGAGCATGAAATGAAATCACACCCAACACCATCTCCAGTAAGAGCCACAAAAATATATTTTTAAACAAGATGTCTCCAAATCCGACTCATCTAATCCGCTTCGGGTTTTCTTACAGGCTCCCATGGTTCAGTTTTTGGTTTATTTTTATTTTTTATCACTTTATTGTCATTCAGAATGTAAACTAATTAGTGGACATGAGAACAAAATTTCGGTGCATTTATTAACCATTCGGACTGTACAATATAAATTAATCTAGCAGTGTTAACAGTAAGGAAAACTGCACAAGATCTTAGGAAATATATTTCACAGCACTAATAGCAGAATAAAAACCAGTCTACATTCACTATTTCAGGCCTGCAACTGCACTGCCCTAAATAAACAGTCGTGATGTTAGTTGTATAGTCACTGATATGAATGATGAGCGGAGATTTCAGAGGGTTGCAGGAAGTATACCAGGAGTTTTTCCTGAGGATACGTCAACTTAGCTGATTATATGTGATCCATGTGTCTTCAGACGTCGTCCCGCTGTTTCCTCCTCCGCTGATATCTGCTTCGGTTTGATGGATGTTTGTTTAATGTTGGCGCCAACCCGGAACAAGTCGGCGAGTGGTGCGTTGGTGTGCATGTGGCTGTTCTGGGGCGTGTTTGACAGTCACACATGGATCAATGTTGCTGATACAGGTAGTCACTCCCAGAGGAACAAACAAAGAGACGCAGGCGATTATCTACAAATAAATTCAGAATTTTTTGGTGTACTGGTTACTCCTGCATGCCTCTAGCTAGCTTCAAATGTCACCATTTAATGTACGCCCTAATGAAATACTAAGATGGTAAATGGATACCTTTTCTTAGTCACCACGCTCATCGTGTTTCCTGATTTAACGCTGTCATAAACCTTTCAGACACCCCACAAATTCTCGCTGTTTTAGGACTGAGAATAAAACCATTTCACCAAATTCCTGATTAATTTAGTTTCTGTGATTCGGAGGCTGTTTCAACCCGACAGCAGCAGCGATGTTCTCGGCTGCTCAGCAGCAGGGGAAAAAGAAAACCCATGCACAGCTTCCACAGTATGGAAGAGAGGAGTCAGGGGCCTCTGCATTATTGATGAGGCTTTATATAGGCAAACAAAACTAAGCAGAGAGAGACGCTCGCAGCTCTGCCTCCGAGGGTGGTGGTGGTGGTGTTGGCGGTGGGTGGGAGAATGGGGAGTGTGGGGGTGGGAGTGAAGAGAGACATGCAGTTCTCTTAACTTGGCTATTGTATCTGCACAGTGCTAAAGCACGGCAGGAAGAGGATAAAAAAGACAGCAACACAATGCAATCTGGATACCAATGGTGATGGAAAAACAACACCGCTAAGAAGCTTATGAAGCATCTTACCTGGGAGCAGATAAATGAATAAATAAACAACAGAAAACAAAACAAGATCAGCACTGGGGGGAAAAGAGTGGATCAGATAACAAAAGATGATACAGAGGGGATTAGAAAAATGCAGCACCTATAAGATTTGTAAAATCAGAGGGGAGTGAAATGAAATAAAATAGCCAGGGTGGAACAAATGGAGTCATGCTGCATGTGTGTAACCCTCTGTGTGCGTGCAGGAGTGCATTATTGCATGAATGAGTAGGTGTGCAAGGACAGGAGAGGGGAAGTAAAAGGAGGTCACTCAACTCACAAGGAATGTATTTAAAAGTCAGCTAATATGCATTTCTGGAAGAGGGCGATGAGGTAAACTCCACTCGCCCGCTGCGTGAAGGTGGGTAAAACAAACGGGAGGTGCGCTTGCGGTTCCCCTCTGCAGCCGCTTTTGTGTCCGTTGCTTATTTTGCAATTGATTAAAACTGTTTTTTCAATATAGGAGATGGAGAGGAGAGAGGTGGGTGCAGTGGGGAGAGGAGATATGGAGGGATTTATTTCTGCTGCCTTTTTTCTTTTTCGTATGTGTGTGGTGCTGTTGATGTTTTTCAGTTACACCACGGGCGCCGCTTTAAAAAAAATAAAAGCAGAGGTGACTCCGACAATCACTCAAACAGCCTGCAAAGTCATCAAGGACGGCTGCTAGCAATTCAGTTGTTGAAGGGGACAAAAAAACACCACAGACACCCTCTGTTACAACAGAGGTTACTCATTTAGGACGTGCAACACCTGCTCGATGAAGTGAGGCATTTAAAGGTGTCCTGTCTGCTTCTTAAGAGACGACATATCAACCCTGTTTCCGGGTCCACCTGTCTCCTGTGTTTGACGATGAGCCTCTTGTCTTTTAACCTGCTTTCCCTTTTAATTGTAACGAGTCCCACAAAACTGTTGAGGGATCTGTTTCAGAAAAGAATCGCTCACATGGCCCCAACTATTCCGCTACATAGTATCTTTATTTTTCTCGACATATATTTGCGCCTCTCTGAAATTAAGATCATCCCTGCTATACTGTGTTTACAGTAGCTAACCATAGCTCTGTAGATAGCCACCAGGTAGTAGCTAGTCGTTAGCTAGCCCACTTTCACTAACCCTCCAAACGTCGCTGATATTTCATCTTCTCTTTTATATCCAAAGTTATAGCAGTGCTGTATGACAGACCATGGTATACCTGCTAATTAAGCGTTATAAATGCTCTTTTTCATAGATTCTTGGACTCCAGAGCAGCCACCCTGGTTATTTTATTGGAGCTCAAAGAATTTGAGTAGTTTCTGCCTCTAAAGGTAGCAAAAATCTGTTGTCTCCTCCGTCTTTAAGCCATCTTTCTTCTAATTGGCTGCCCCTCGCAAATAGCTGGTGGGTGGAGCCTAATTTCCTATATCCGAGATGTCACACAGAG